ACAGTCTGTTCAATAAATTCTGAAATATTTAAACAAAAGGCACCACAAATGCACTAAGCAGTTCTTAAATCTTAATAAAAAAATCTTATTAAATGTCTTTCTAGGTGTGCTAACTAAAAGCTTACTAACGCCCTAAAAATTAGAAAGAAGTATTTAACAGACATTTTTATAATATTGTGTAACACTTTCACTTAACTAAACAATACATATTGCGGTTGGCTACGTGCTGATCACATCAGTTTTTTTTCTTTAAATTTCCAATATATCACAAATATATTATTCGAACTTTTCCATGAGTTTGTCAAGAAAAAGTAAAAAATCACAAATCTAAAAAGCTCTTTGGCTGTCAAACTTATCAACCTTTTTTTTTTTTAAGTGCACTCATATTGATATAGACTTTGCACTTTAGACCAAAATGTCTAAAGATATAGACTTAAAATGATATAGACTTTGCACTTTTGCATTGCTTTATGAAACAAATTTTGCTCAATATCTGCCCCAAAAATCTGGGTACTTTCTTAATGTTTATTACAAGTTATACGCAAAGGTAAATAATTTAGTGTAGATAATGTGATGGAATTGTAACAAAACATTTAGATATGTCTTAATTGCACATTTTAGGTCGAAAACTGCTTATTTCTTATGAATACCTTTTTACCCTTTTTTATGAAATGCTTATTAGTTATAATTCAAAATTTTTATATTGTTAATCACTTGAAACTCATGTACATTGCTACAATAGCTGTAATTGCTATTAATGCACAATTTTAAAATATCACCAAAATTAAATTTCTATTACAACACGACAATTGAAATCTCAATAATTATTAAATCAAAAGGAAGAAACAACATCACTATTGATTTTTTAAATTATGCAATTACACCCAACGAAAAAACATAAGTTAAATCACCAAAACCGACTTTGGTAAATTTTTTTGTATGGAGATTTTGAAACTAGTGTATACCAGCCAAGAGATTAGGAATATTACATGTGTTAATTAGGTAAAAAAATAAGCCAGATTGCACAAAAAAACTTGGGTAATATGTTTAGGAAACTAAGTTAAATATTCTAAGCTGTTTCAACTTATTCTTAGGTAATTTAACGTAGTATTATAATATAAGATTAGGTAATGATCTATTTATAAAATTACCTTAGACTATAAGTCAATTTTACCAAAGGTAAAAATTCTTAGGTGTTGCTACTTAGGCAATATTTCCTAGGAATAAGTTATTATTCCTAAAAACTAAGCTGAATTATAAGTTCAAAATATATTTCCTAAACTTATGCTAAATTAGCTTAGTTCTTAGGTAATTTTACTTATACACGCAGATATCAATTCACCTAAGTGCTTGGGTAATATTGCTTAGTACTAAGCTATAATTCCTAAAAATTAAACTTATATACAAGCTAATAATAAATTTGTTAAGTTTTATATTAAACCAGCTTAGTTCTTAGCTGATCTTACTTAAATTAAAGAAAAATGTGCATAGAAATTCAACTAACCGCTAAGGTAATTTTTGCAAGCTTTACATTTATCCAGCTAAGTTCTTAGGTGATTTTACTTATATAAAAAAAAGCACGTAGTTATCAATTCACCTAAGTGCTTGGGTAATATTCCAAAGTAGTGAGCTATAATTCCTAAAAACTAAACTGATATACAAGTTAATAATTATTTTGTTAAGATTTATATTAAATCAACTTAATTCTTAAGTGATTTAACTTAAATTAAAGAGAGAAAAATTTAGTTACAAATTCTTAGGCGCTAAGGTAATTTTTGCCAGCTTTACGTTTAACCAACTAAGTTTTTAGGTGATTTTACTCATACGAAAGAGAAATATAATTATCAAACCGCATAAGTACCTAAGTAATATTTCTTAATAGTAAGTTACAATTCTTAAATACTAAATTATATAAAAGAAGGGTATATCTATTACCTCAACCTGAATGCTTAGTTAATATTGTCTATGAACAAGCTATAATTCCAAAAATATAAGTTGAATTATAAGTTGATAATAATTTTGCTAAGTTTTATGTCAAATCAGCTTAGTTGTTAGGTGGTTTTACTTATAGAAACAGAAGTACAGTTAATTCGAAATGCAAATATTGAATCATCACGTGTCATTTTAAGAAATTGAAAAAAGAGAAAAAAAAAATAATAGAAATTTTTTACTTATGCTATAAAATATGCTCTTGCTAAAAAACCAACCCCATTCTAGCTTTTTTTATGCACATGTATTAATTTTGAAAATTTTGTCCTATAATTTGGATTCAAATATTTTAAGATATTTCCATAATAGGCAATTCACCTGCTGTTTAATTATTAAAGTGTTCTTTTTTTTAAATAAACTTGATAAATAAATGGTTAAATTATGTTTCTAAATCTGTTGGCGTGTTCACCATGCATTATCCAAATTAAAAAGCCAAATTATGCGTTGTTTTGTTCAAAATCATCTATTTCCATACGAAATACGCCTGGTAAATAATTGACAATTTGATTTATTCAGCTTTGCAATTTCATATTGTAATTGAAAAATTAAATTTTTCAAACAACTTTTTCTAATTTTTTTTTCTTAAGCAAACTTTGTAAGTTGTTTCGAAAATAATTTTTTCTATAAATTTTCTACTCAGGTAGTAATAAAAAACAAAATATGAGTTGACTCTTAGTTTATCAATAATTATACATGTGATTAACAACTTTTGTAATAAAACTGAATTTTTATAATTATTCCGGACAGAAAAGGAGAACTTTTAAATAGAGAAAACAATTATTTCCTAAATTGTTACATTTTTAATGCAAGTGATCATTTTGTTAGTATACAGGAACTGTCCCTGCTTATAAATAAGAAAACATCACTGAATTATAAATTCATAACAATATTTCCAAATTTTATGTTAAATCAGCCAAGTTTTTAGGTGATTTTACTTATAGAAAGAGAAATACAGTTAATTCGGAATGCAAACGTTTAGTCACCACGTGGTCATTTTAAGAATAGAGGAAAAAAAAAAGCAAATAAAAATTTTTTGCTTGTGTTATCATAATAAAATTTTGTCCTATAATTTGGAATCACAAAGTTTAAGTCATTTCTGAAATCTGCAGGGGACGGCATAATAATTAAGTGCTCTTTTAACATAAACTTGATAAATAGGTTGCAATAAAAAAATAAAAGGAAGTAACCAATGTCGTTTTTAAAACTTTCTTATAAACTTCTTTCTGAACGATGTAAATTAAAAAACTAAATTATTTTTACTTTCTAATATTTCCCCGTTAAAAATATTGATATTTTCGTTTGATTTTGAGGAAGACATTTTTTTATTTTTCACGAATTTTGATTACATTTAAAATTTCCAATATAATCAAAATTTTCCATTTTTTAAAAGATGTACATATACAATTCGTCAATTTCATTTATTCAGCTTTAAAAACTGTACAGCACATTTTGTAGGTGGTTTTCAATCATTCCAAATCTATTCTATAACTTTTCTATTAAGGCAGTATAATCAAAGAAAAAATATTAATTATTACATATAACAAAAAAACTTTATTTTAATACTTCAAATTTATATTATTATATAAATTGTCTGACTTATATAGATATTTATTGTAATATAGAAAACAGTCAACTTAAAATTTATGTTATTTATGTTACAACTTTTCGTATACTTAACATAGATATAAATAGAGGAAAAAAAATATTTCAGAATTTTTAGTTATCAGTGCAAGTGCTACTCTTGAACACATAGTAGAATCGCCTCTGCTTGTAAATATGTCATACCTAATTCCCAAAAATAAGCTGGTAAATTTATAACAATTTTGCCAAGTTTTATGTTAAATTAGCTAAGTTTTTAGGTGATTTTATACATGTATACGTACATACATATGTAAGAGAGAAAAGTGCAGTTATTAATTTATTTAAGTATTGAATACATGGTCTATGAATAGGTTATAACCAGGGTTACCATTCATGAAACAATTAATAGGTCAAATTGTAAAACAAAAGGGCCAAGATTAATAATGTGCTTAATTTTCGAATTAAAAAACTTATTGCTATTCTAATTGCAAATTTAATTCAAATTTTATATTACCATGCGTTTTTTATTTTGTTGTATGAGGTCTGAAAAATTTTCTGTTTATATGTAAATAATATATAAAATTGGGAATAAAATATTTAAAAAACCTTTTGCTGCATATTCGATATTTTACAACTAAAAAAACACATTCTAATATGGAAATGGGTTTTATAGTAATATTAAATTACCAATACTAAGAGCATTGTACACAATCTTACAACTTAATTCTAAGGTCTTGCAAAATTTTTATAATCAAATTATATATAAAAAACTTTAAAAAAAGAAGAATTAATGTTTTCTTCAAGACGAAAAATCAGTCAAATAGATCTTTAGCAAGAAAAACGGGCTCATCCCACTTGCCATAAAATGGTAACGCTGGTTATAATTGCAAAAAACTTAGCCAAATTAAAAGTTTATATCAATTTTGCCAAATATTTTGTTAAGCCGGCTAAGTTCTTAGGTGATTTTTCTTATAAATATGGGAGAAAGATCACATGAGAGCAAAAAGTAAATCGTTTATTTACGTATATGAGAGAAACAGTTATCAAAACCACATTGATTTTTATGTCTTGTACAGATTAAATTTTATTCGTCTCTAGTCTCGCATAAAGAGTGTTTGCTAGTAAAGTGTTTTTTTTTTTCAGTGAATAATAATTTAAAAATATATGTATGTATGTATTAAAAAAATTAAAGTTAAAATAATTCTAGTAAAAGTATAATTTAAGAAAAACATAAATATTAGAAATTTATATGAACAAAATATTAACAAAGTTGCTAAAACATAACTTTGAAAGAATTAAAATTTACTTTACAAACACATTTTATTAATTTTATTAAATTTTTTGAAAAATATATACATATGTACATACATTTATGAAGATTTATATTTATGTAAAAAATTTGGTACAAAAGTGAAACATAAAAGGAAAAGAAAAAAAAGGAATCGAAATATTGGTAAGTTAAATTTTAAATATTTGAAATTATATATGTATATGCATGTATGTATGTATATAGGTGAAATAAACTATGAATGTTAAAATCATTCGAAGCGTCCAAACTTATTTACAGTTATTTTTGTCTCTTTTATTCTTCTATTCACACTTTTCATGTTTTTTTATTTTTTTTTTATAATTAAAAAGTACTAAAAAGATTAAACAACACAAAGATTTTTGCAACAAATCAAAATAATAAAAAATCATTCGTCGGAAGACAATATATTCATATATACATGCATACATAAACATCCCTAATACATACTTAAGCATATTACTATTTCTACAGGTTGTTTAAAGATAATGCTTTTTTTCAGTAAAATGGCTTAGATATTATATTTTAATCAAATTTAATTTATGTAGTTATCTTTATTTATTTTGGGTGAATATTGAATACTTAGATTTGTAAGTATTTTAAATTAATTTTATGTGTATAATATACTCATCGTCAAATTTTATAATATTTAAAATTATATGAATACAAAACGATGCACTACTGTTTGCGATGTGCTACTTGAATTAAACCAGGTTAGTTCTGGGAGCGTGAAAGAGCTATTTATTGAACCAAAGGGAAAATGAATAAGAATGAAAAATTGCAATCTAGAGTCTCAGATGCAGAGTGTAAAAAAAGGAACAACAGACGATGTATCAGATAATGCTATTTTTCCTAAATTAGAGTATCAAATAGACTATACTTAACAAAATGGTAAATATTTTTGCTATATTTAAAATAGTTATAATTTTGTACTTTACTTAACTGAATGCTTTTTATATGTTTCACACTTATTATATAGATATGGAAAACGTTTCACCTCAAGAAGCAAAAAATATTTGCACTGAGCTTAAATACATACGGGATTGGGATGAATTAATACCAAAATGGAAAAAAACTACAAAGTCCAAAAATAAAATATGTTTCAGCAACAGGAATCTGGAACAAATTTTGGTGGAATGACTATTTAGATACTTAAAAGCACCTGAGCTGGTAAGACTTGTCATTGAAATTAGAAAATTTAAGAAATATAAATTATTTAGTGTTCTTCCGCGAACATTTTAAAAAACCTGACGTTTTTTAAACAAGAGTAATTATGTAACAATAATACTTGAATGTGCAAGTAGTTTGTGAGCAAAAAGCATTGAAGAAAAAGATGTTTGCCCGAACAAAAAATTTTTGATTTTATAAGTTTTAAGTTTTTTATCAAACTTTTTTTGTCTTAGTAAAAAATTTTATAATGTGTTAATAAAATCACATAAATATTTAATTAATAAAAATTGTATTTTTCCAGATTGATAATCTCTATATATAAGGTTGATAAGATAGAATTACTCACACTATTCCGGCATAATAACTTTTATTTTGATTTATGGAACAGTTTTTGTAAAGTTGCAGTGGAAATTTTACAATAAAGATTAAAGATGCTGCAAATAAAACTTATTAAAAATATTTAAAGAAAAAATAGTATGATGGATTCAGGTTCGTACATTTTATTACAAATTAATAAACAATAAATTGTAGTTTTATTTCTATAATCTTAATGCTATGATATAGTTTCTCGTTGTCATTAACACAGTTAATTATTATTTTAGACATGATACATCTTTGTAATATGAAGTTTCTATTTGAATTTTATTACCGTCTACCAAGGTAATCAATGGAAAACGGACAAAATATACTATTCATGATTCCCAATGATCATTTACATTACCAACAATTTGGAAAGTCAAGTGAATAGTGTCTTAAACGAATTAACTGATCAACATTATCAAAATAAATCGACTTTGCAACCATTCATTTTGATTACCGGAGAAGAATTTCGCTACCAAAAATTCTAAATTGTTCTGGCAGATGCAAAATTTCAATTTAATACTTAGAAACTATTCAATGTTGCTTCAAATTATTCTATCATATTTTGGAAGGAAGTTTTTTTCGTTTTAAATTATTTAAGAAATTGAACATACGGAATTAGCTCATTAGCTTATTTAGTTTATATAACTTTTTGCATAAGGCTAAAATATTTAAAACACAATATTGTTTACATTTAGAGTCAGTCATTAATTATACAGAATTAACAGAATTAAAAATAAGTTTAAATTTTATAACAATTTTTTTTTAAAGGATAGATATAAGCAATAATTAAATTCATTTTGGAAAGTTGAAATACAATTTGAAAATCTTTTTTGTGAACATCAAAGTTTTTGCTATATATGGATAAGTAACAAACATATCAAGAAAAACAAATTTGAAACTTTTAAAATAATTTTGCCAAAAGAGAAAAGGAAAATTTCTTTTTGTTTCTGTATTTTAGTTTTTTTATAAAGTATAACATTTTGGATTAATTAATATTACTTTCAATTTACATTTAGATTACTTTTAATGTTACAAAATTTCAAATTGGAATGTATTTTTTTATTACAAAATAATATTTCAAAGAATATTTCAATAATTATGACAATAACAGAATATTATTTCACGAAATAATTTACAATATTTTTTTTTTAAATAAAAATCGCTTTAATTAATTCACATATAATTGAAAAACAAATTTTTTATTGTACATTGTTGCTAGATTTTCACTTGAAATTAAGTTTAATATCTTAAATTATTAGTTATCATAAAATAGCTTAAAAGTAAGGTAAGTCACGTTATTTATTAAGCTATTAAAACAGCTTATAAATAAGTTAAAACACCGTATTTATTGAGCTATTTAAACAGCTTATAAATAAGTTAAAACATCTTATTTATTAAGCTATTTAAACAGCTTATAAATAAGTTAAAATACCTTATTTACTAAGCTATTTGAACAGCCAAGAAGTAAGGTAAAACACCATATTTGCTAAGCTATTTGAACACCCAAGAAATAAGGTAAGACACCTTATTTTCTAAGCTATTTGAACACCCAAGAAATAAGGTAAGACACCTTATTTGCTTAGCTATTTGAACACCTAAGAAATAAGGTAAGACACCTTATTTGTTAAGCTATTTAAGTACCTTAAAAATTAGGTAGAACACCTTAACTGTTAAGGTAATACAGCTTAAAAATAAGGTAAAACTTGTATAACAATTTACGCTGTTATACAAATATAACAGTCAGAAATAAGGTAAAACACCTAAGTGGCTAAGCTGCTCTGCCTAAGGCAATAAGTTTTAGCCAAAACCGATAAGCTTAATTTCACTAAGGCTTGGCTGATTTTCCATTGTTTTTTTATACCAAGTTTTACCCAATTTTTCTTAGTTATATTACCTAATATATTAGTTGGCTGAAAAACACCCAATAAATAAGCTGCGCCACACTCGAATTTTAGCTAATTTAAACTAATCTTTTCGTTCAGTGTATGCAATGCAGAACAAAAAAAACAACACTACGAACTATACAGACAAGAATTAATCGTCATTAATAAATTGTATACAATTTTTAACTGAAATTCAATTTATGCTTCGGATTAAACAATAGTGAATCCATTTATCAATGAAAATCAAAGCGGGCGCTTAATCACTGATCATCGTTCCTAATTTTGTCGTTTACATTACATAAGTTTCCTTAAAAATATTAAAAAATTTATGAGTGTTTTGAATGAGTTTTCTTTATTTTTTTATGGTTTAAAAAGGAATGAAAAAGTAATTGGATGATTTGAAGAGCTATGTACATACATGGATGCGTTAAAATGAATATGAGATATTTGATCAAAATTTAAAATTATTATAATCAGTTCAAAATAATGACGGTCTCTGAATAATAATGAAATCATTGTAACAAATTTGTGTTTTATCTCTTACTTCTCGCAGAATACTCGTAACATACATGAGGAATAAGTAAAAACAATACTGATATTATTAAAGATTTTAATCTAGACTTTTTGTGTATGTTTTCATTACTCCCGTCATATGCACGTATTGTTTTCTTACAAAACTGATCTGCAACAGGGTCTTATGCAGCCCAAAGTCCGTACAATCTTAAAGATATTAAACTGTTTTTGTTTTAAAAATTTTTATTCCCTCCTATAACATACCTCCTTCTTGAAACTTAAGTAAATCTCCTAATTGAAATTCCTAAGTTTGCTAATTCAAATTTTTTTGTTTTGAATTTAGAACAATTATAAATTATATCATTTTTGTAGGTACGTACAAATCAAGCTTACATTTTTGGCAATTTAAATATTTTTTTGGAAATGAGATGAAATAAGACACTTCTATTAAATTTACGAACTACTCGTATATTACACATAGCTATAGTTATATTAAATGAAAAGACATAATGAAAGGCATTACGAAATAATGTATAGCATAATGCATTCAAACTAAATTAATACCTGAACTAACACAGAAATCATCATACCTAAAAAAGCAAAAAAAAAATTTTATATCGTCTGCGACACGACCAGACCACAATCTTTTAAATTCTCCTAAGGAAGCTCAGCAAGCTTTTGGTTAATATACCTATAAAATTTTAAATTTGGTTATGGTACGATATCGCTCACTAAGCTCAACACGCTTTACGATATCGCTAAAAATGTTCGTCAATAATTGCTACACCTGTATCTAATATTTAATTTAAAAAAAATTAAAAGCTGTCAATTAGTTTCCAATATATAATCATAAATGTCGTAAATCCGACTCTAGAGAAAATTCGTGTTTTATGCCTTAGCATTTTCAGAAAATTTACTAGTTCATTGTTTTACCAATCTTAATTGAAATATTAAGCTTCAAACAAATTAATTATTTTATTCTCCGTATACTTGACGGAAGTGTGAATTGGGTAATTACGTAAAAGTCCCATTGCTGACACCTGATTTCCTCGGAATGCTAACATTTAACATTTTCTTGAAAATTATAAAAAGCGTAAAATCGGGCCTTGCTATTATATTAGATTCAGCCCTTGCTGATCATACCCCAAAAGTTGATTACTGTTGAAAATTGGTTTATCTTAAGTCGAAACACGAGACTACGCACAGATATGCAAATAAAAATAAATTATTTTTCTATCACGGAAAAAATGCAATTTCGTTTAAAACTCGACATGTAAGATTTGTTGACATTACGTCACCCCCCTTATTGAATGCAATACGTTCGATTAAAAAAATAATGACTTTAATCACATGTAGATCAACAATACAATGTGAAATGGAGTGACATCTATTGAACATAAATGAGATTTATTACTTCTGATTGATTACGTTATTGTTGTGTCTTCTTTTGTATCTTTTACTTTTCGTTTGTTGTTAGTTTTTGTTTTTATTATTTTTATTTCTACTTGTACTAGTTCTTACAAATTTATATGTATGTATGTAGGTAGGTATATAATTTTTAAGTTTTGAATTGTGCGGTTGACATGTTGGCTGGTTAATTGATGATTTGTTGTCATTTTGTTATTATAATAAATTTATTTTTTACTTATTCTTTTATTATTTTGTTGGGGAACCCTCTAAATTCTTTTTTTGTAATTTTGTTTCACATTTTGAAAAACAATAAATTAAAAAATAATTTGTTATTGAATTGAGGTGCGTTTAATATTCTGTCCAATTGAATTTAAAGAATAAAAAAAACTGAATAAATAAATAATTTTGACCTGTTTTGACAGAAAAATGAACTTGTAATTCATACAAGAAAGAGGGTAATAAATTCATTTTGTTTAGAATGACGACTTTATACTCTCACAAAAAAAAGATTGTGTGGGAATTTTATTTTTTCTATTACGTTTTTTAGAATTTTACATTATGCTGGCTAAAATAATGAAGTTAGAATATCTAACATGTATGTTTGTAAGTTGTAAAAGGAAGTGAATTGAAATTATTTTATAGACTTTTAATTAAATGACATATTTGTGCATTTTTTGAAACTTTTTTTGAGGATTTTGCTCAGCCTTAAAAATTTTTCTTTTATTTTAGATCCCATAGTTTAATACAAAATGAACTACATACGTCGTATTTTGTTGGATATTCAATGGAAATACATCGTCATTAGATTAGGTTTCTTCTTGAATCTTATAAAAGAAATTCGTTTTTGAAGACTTGCATGCACAAAAACGTCGAAAACAGCACGGCTGAAATTGAAAAATTTCATATTAACTAATTAAATAAATTGATTAAATTAAAGAAATAGAAAAAGTATATTAATTTAACATAATAACTTCGATGCCCCTTTGAATAATTAACGAAATTAATCAACTCATAAACAAAAGATCAAGATTTATAAACATTGTTTATATTATTGTTGAAGTGATGGTACAATTAATTACTGTATTTAAGACAACATCTTTCTGATAATCGTCTGTAACTTAATTGTAATTGCTTTGTAATTGAATTAAATTGTTACAATAATATCTTGCCGAAATATTTTCTTTCAAAGAATTTAAAATTGATTACAAAATTTAACATTATTTATTTACTTTTCCAATACCCAAAAAAAATCCTCATTATCTATTTATTATATTCAAATAATCTTTAACTGAAGTATAAAGTAGCTATACAATTACTTATTTACAAATATTCCATAGAAATTTTGTAAATATCCCAGAAAAATTATAACAAAGTGATGATTCATAAAATTTATATTGTAAAATATTATTGCTCTTCTTCTTCAAGAAAAAAAAGGCCAAATCCATAATAAACAAGTTTATATGGCATTTAGCTAAGCTTTGTATTACTTCTTGTCTAGCGTAAGTATGCTTATTATGAATTACAACCCGCGCATGAATAAAAATTATTGTAAAAAATCGCCTACTTACAACAAAATTTGTTCTGCTCTTCTCTTTTTTTAAAAAAATTTTCTATTGAAATTTTAAAAGATTTTATTATTTTACTTTAGATTTTTAATTTTTCCTTTTTTCTTTTATTCTTATAAATCCAAAGAAAATGTAGATTTTCGTCCTTGAACTCACCACATTTA